TAATGACATTTTTTTTGGACACAAGTATTTAGCCCACTGCTCACACCTGAAAATTGAATCAATAAATTATTTTATTGCACTATAACCAAATGAATAGAAATAGTAACATACACTCAAAAGGCACTCTTTTTGCTATTAGGAAGCAATCTCTATAAGGTAACCTTTGGCTAGAGATAACTATATCAACTAAGAAATTGCGCCTTCTTGAGAAGTTATGAATTTATGAGTATATTATATAGTGTTTAGTTATGAAAACATATAAAATATTTCGATATTATTTAGGAACACTTAAGTCGTAGAATTTATTTAACATAAAAAAGCATTTTTAACAAGGTTGCTTAAAATATGGTTTCTTACATACCGAACAAGATTCCTTATTGCAGGCTTCAAAACTCTGAACAATTTAACGCCATCCTTGGAAGACGAAGAACCGCATTTGCAGCATATACGTTTGTTTTCTGAATCAGACATTATTCCGCATAGAATCACTTTCTTTGATGGCTCGCGAAAAACAGAGATAAATCAACTAAACAAATTGCAAAGAGTTACTTTCTCACTAAAACAAAACTTAAAGATTAATAAAGAGTCACTGTCTCGGGTATTTTAAAGAGTCACTTTCTCACTAAAACAAAACTTAAATATTAATAAAGAGTCACTGTCTCGGGTATTTTAAAGAATCACTTTCTCACTAGAACAAAACTCCCTCAAAACAAGAAAACAAGGCGAGAACACAAGCACAACACGGTTCGCTATTTACCAAACAACGACGCCATTTTACGTCAAGTCGATTTGACAGTTTGACGTGACGTCATCAACGTGGTGTGGCTATTTCAATTTTCAAATTCTACTATATTAAATTTATGGTAGTTATCCCTTGTAGGTATCATAGGTCGCCCATACAAAGTTGACCAGGGCTGCGTGCAACACTTCGATAAATCAAAAATGGCGGGACTTACCTTAACGATAGGGGCACCGTCCTCTAGCTCCCGTCGGCCACTGAGATAACTAAAGCGTACGACGCGCTAGCTTCAACCGTTAGAAAGAGACAACCGATATTCGAATTCGTGTACGCCTCGCAGGCGTAGGTTAGGCTTCTAGGGTTAAACACAAGCCTTAGAGAAGTAGCAGTCATAATGTCTGCTACTTCTCTATGACTTGTGTTAACAATAATAAATTGATCTAATAGCTCTCTTCTGAGGTACAGTAATCGTTTGTAACATACAAACGCAGCGTTTTCTTGAATCGTACCTGTACCCCCAACATTTTGTTCTTATAAATACTTTAGCAGTGGCAAACCAGTAAAAAAAATATCAAAATAAAAATTGTAAGATCCTAAGCCCAAGTCAGATTGCATTTTGAGCACAGGACCGGATGCGCCTTGGTAAGGCTTACAAATCACTAAATATCCATAACGAGTAGCTGCTGACCAGAGCTTGAAGACAAAACTTATTGGTTTCCCGTGTATATGTTTCTTGGTGCCATGCCTTCCAAAGTATGATACTATTGTTTCATCGATGGAGATATGTTAAGAACCAGCTCCATTGAAATTTTTGGTGAAATTGTTGTTTTGTTTGGTAAATTATTCTCGCACTTTTGCAAATTTATTATTTGGCGGCAATAATATACTATTAGAAAGATGAAGGTATTGCTGTATTTCAAAAAAAAAACTATTGCGTCTTATACTTGATGCTACTAGCTCATTGTGCGTATCCTTTTTCACCTCTCAAAACAATCTAATGTACTTCGGCGTCAAATAACTGGTAAGTATCAAAATATACACTCGAATTTCTTCAGTACTCACATTAAGAGTGTGATTTCTTTGTAAAGTGTACAAGTTGCTCATATCAGTTATGAATTCTAGTATATATGTAGTAAATATGACCAAAACGTAACAAAAGTCATATTATCACTTACAAGAAATTCAAAATAAAAGAGTTACTATAATACCCCAGTGTAAACCACGGTGACACGGCATAATCCCAACGTTGTTGCAAACATGTTCAATTATGTTTTTGCTAACAGAATAATTTATAATAGAACTTATTTATTCATATATCAGTGATATATAATGTGATTCACATGCAATAAGAAGAATAACTATACTTACAGTCTAGGCATTTTTCTATCACTTTTTATCATCAGAGATGACACATACGCAGACTGCTTGACTTTCGTGCGAAACATCTGAATATATTTGACAAATGACATTTGGCTAGTATTGCCAGATATATATTTTTAATAGTTTTAATTATTGGCTTTGCAACGATGGTATTAAGATTTAAAAATAATATTCTCGTGTGGTAGAAAAAAAATTTTGAACTTCCGTCACCTACGAGTAACACTGGGAAATGAAGAGTTAAGAAGAAGATTATTTACATTAAACCGATGTTCTACTACTACGTTGTTTCTGATTTTAATACACACAGTGATTTATCAGACTATTGGAAGGAGCTCGAGTAATGATACTCCCTCCAATACAAGCCCAGGCACAACGCTTTTGGAGACGCGACTGTCAGCTGGAGTTTTTATCTTTTCGGGGTAAGTAGACTTAAGTATCAATAAGCGACAAATTATGAGAAGAGCCAATAATAAAAACTTTTTTAAAATGTAATTAAGCTTTTATTTAAAAACAATTTTAATCAGGTACAGACATATGAGTCGATTGTTTTCAAAGGCGGCAATCTGACTTCTGGTGAATATTTGGCAAATCAAAAAAATTCGTTAGTTTTTTATTCTTATGGTCCGTTGGGTAAAAAAGCTGATATATTTAATAATAAGAGGTCTCAGATGACATGAAAATAACATTTTGGGGTTTATAGGTGATAAAGAAAACATAAACTGCATATAAAGGGTTTAGCCGGATACCTATGACGAGTCGGCCCCCAAATGGGAATCGATATCGAAACTTATGTTTTAATATCGACTTGATGTTCAAACACGATTTATGTACTTTTCGCGACCGACTTCCGCTTTGACCTTGAGATAGAGAGCAAAATATCCGTATTCTTGACTATTACTGAATGTGATATATCTCGGAAGCTAATTAAGATAAAGAAGTGAAACTAACGCGAGGTGTTAGGTTACATTACAGAGTATATCACATATATTTTTTTTTATAATTTTTAGAATAAAAAATTACATTAAAAAAAAAAAAAAAAAAAACATGTTTTTTTTCTGAGTTCTCTGTGACTTACAATCACGAAATTAATATATGTTATGCCCCTTTGTGTGCTCTATTACCCATAAAAATTGCGTGAAAAAAAAGTTGGTGCAACACAACGAAAAAAAATTATATGTGATTTCTGTCTTATGGTATACCCCTGTATTATAAGGTTTTCACATTACATCATTGTTTTTTTTTCGAAATTTCACATCAGCTTGTGTTAAAACTTAAGTAAATAGTCTTAAAAGATGAAATAATAGTTAAAAAAGAAATGAAAAAAAAAACAGCCAGTGTTCAATACTTATTATTATTACTTTTTCGTGTCTATCAAAATACAAGAAACAAAATATTAATCATCGTCTTTGTTGTAATTAATTACAATCGGAACACTTTGAGTCGCAAATAACTTAGTTAGGACCTCAGCAGGACGTACGATTTTGAACAAATATCATCCATATGATAGATAATAAATAATAGCTGCTACATGAGAACAGCATCCCACTGTACGTTTGCCATTGGGGCAATCACAGCAATAACGAAGAATACTATTGTAGTCATTACCTTCGGAAATATAGTGAATGTAAATTCGATAGACTTTTCTATTTATATGTCTTGATTTTACTTCTGCTTTGATGATAATAGGTGCTGATTTCACATATTGTACTGAGAGATTATTTTGATCGTCCATTATTTCGGCCAAGTTAAATGCTGCACATTTAGAAGTAGAAGCTTTTTTGTTAACATATGGGATAAGTCGACACTTCTTACAAAAAATATCATTAACTATTACGATTTTATTCAAACAGTCACTAAACACTTTAGTTCTTCTTCTTCATTCTTTATAATTTTTTTATAACCAGGAATCTTACACAGGTACTTGTTACAATTTTTACACTTTCTCGACATTATTACTTAATAATGATTTGGTTCGATAGTTAATAATTTCAAAATGCTGATACAAAATACCTATGAAAGAATTTTAGTCCCAAACTGCCTTCTTGTGTAATACAAATGACTACGACTTTAGCTAAACAAACGATGCAGTAAACAGCGCGATAACAAGTTCGAACTTGTTTGTTTATACACTCACACTACAAGGCGCGAATCACATATAATTTTTTTTCGTTGTGTTGCACCAACTTTTTTTTCACGCAATTTTTATGAGTGATAGAGCACACAAAGGAGCATAACATATATTAATTTCGTGATTGTAAGTCACAGAGAACTCAGAAAAAAAATATGATTTTTTTATTTTTTTTTAATGTAATTTTTTATTCTAAAAATTATAAAAAAATATATGTGATATACTCTGTAATATAACCTAACACCTCGCGTTAGTTTCACTTCTTTATCTTAATTAGCTTCAGAGATATATCACATTCAGTAATAGTCAAGCATACGGATATTTTGCTCTCTATCTCAAGGTCAAAGCGGAAGTCGGTCGCGAAAAGTACATAAATCGTGTTTGAACATCAAGTCTATATTAAAACATAAGTTTCGATATCGATTCCCATTTGGGGGCCGACTCGTCATACGTATCCGGCTAAACCCTTTTACAAATTGCCGACTTTAAAGTCAAACTTTTCAGAATGCCGCTTTTGTAACTCACAAACGTGTAGATTACCGTTTTTGATCCCAAACTTCTTGACTATCTGTTTCTTTATTCAGGGTTGTCACCAAAGCATAAATTTACTTTTTTACAGAATAATATGAAATGATATAAAAAATATTTAGATACAAATTTTATTTAAAAAAATTAGTCACACATCCTTTATTTTTAGGTATCTGATACTAAAAAAAAGTATGAAATGAAATTACACTTAAAATAAAATAAAAGTTACACGCGAAGATCTTGCACCTCGTCCATTAATTCTTGGCAGTAATTTTCTTCGATTTGAGGTGCATCGAGAATTTGCTGCGTCTCAAAAACATTTTTATAAAAAAATAAATTTGGCATGTTTTCCCACTCAGGGCCGAAATGTTTTAGGAGCAACTTTTTAACGTCTGATAGTTTATCTTTATTTAGGGGCACTATACTGGGTAGTTGCTGAGGCCTTATATGAGACACGTCTTTATTGCGTTGACAAATGTTTTGAGCTGTTGCTATATCACTTTTATAATGCAATTCTCCTCGTACCACAACATTGCTCGTTGTTTTTGTGCATCTAAGAATGAATCATTTGCATTCTTTAAATGCCACGTGCCACGTAGTAGTGGGCCTCATAACTGATTTGACGGCGTCTCTCCAGTTATAAATTGGACAGTCTCTCCCTATCTTCACCAATGTGGAAGTTTCTCCCAATATATCCTTTAATATTTCTGGGTGTAAGATTACATCCATTTTACGCATTTTTTTTTCAGCAATGTCAAATTGCCTATCTGCAGGCATATATGAGTGACCGGTCACTGGAAACACCAACTCGATAAACTTTATATTCGGATGGTCTAGTAGCCACTTAGAGTATGCACCTACAAGAATACTATTTTTATTTTGGCCACCGCAACCATCTGCAACCATCTCGAACCTTCGTGATATTGGTCAAATTCGTATTGTCAAGCCGATGTGTCATAGCTGAAGCGACTAAATTTGAGTCTTTGTTAAACTCATTTTCCGTGCAGTAGTATGTAAACACACGTTCCTTGTTTAGGGGAATATTTGAAGCCCCTTCCACTACAGTGAAATTAAAAAAATATAATTGCCGCGAATAGTAAGCCATTTGATCAGGTACCTTTGGCAAAGGAAGATTTTTTTGGCAATCGAAGGATAATATTTTGAGACCATCTGATACTTCTCTGAGTTTTTCAAAAAAAGCAGCCGCCCTTAATGAGTGCACTCTCTTCTCTGTCATCAATAGTTTTTTCTTTTCCTGATCGGTTTCGCAAGCGATTTTTTCAGTAAGCTCTAAGCATTTAGAACATGCATCGGTTTTAGATGTCCCAAATCCCAGATTGTAGTTAGTATTAAAAATATGCCGGAAATATGATTTCTTAACAGCAGCATTCCAATAGTCACTTTCTTTGTAAACTATAAAGTTTGTTTATATTCAAGTTTGATGATAAGTATTTCCTTTCGACCATCTTTGTTTTTCTGCAGTAATGTGATTCCACACAATTTAATTTTTGTATGAAGTTGTGAACGGATTGCCTTCGTTCAGCAAATAAATGCTCCTTATGATTTCCGCCTGAAAACAAAGAAAAAACAATAATTATGGAACACATTATGGTATTACTTATTTCGACAATTTTTGGTTTACAAAAAAAAATATTACTTTAATTTTGTAGTAGGTACTACTACTAGAACTACCTACTTAATAAACCAAGAAGTACCTACAACAAACTCTGATAAAATAAAATTAATTGAAGAAAAAAGTTACTTTTATCTCGACGTTCATTAAATATTACATCTCCAGCATAAAAATATCTGTTCATAACATATTGAACTCTGTATTTCGTTATTCCAAATAAAGTCAAAAATAGTTTTTGACATATTGGCACCCTTTTTTTGTGACCAAACAGCATACTTTATAGTGGTTTGCTTTTTTCCTTTGTAACCTGGTCTGTGATGTACAGGTTCAATATTACAAAATTTCAAGATCATGGCATCTTGGTCTTTCTTGTTTTTAAAACTGTAAAATTTTTCATTAATTTTTCCGAGCTGGGTCATCGCCAATGTATCACATTGCAGTGCCTTTGAGTTATGGGTGCACACTTTTTTCGGTAACGACTTTTGCGAATACCTAAAACAAATAAAAAACCAGCCAAGCTATCACCGTTCATAAGATATTGCCTGATGACAGTCAGACGGACAGACAGATTTCGCCTTTGGAACCCTAAAAAACCGACTACTTAACATAAATACACAAACAGGTGAACGCATTATTCGGTACCCTCTTTATGGCTTCACCGTAGTCGGGAAAAAATAACAATACATTAGCTTGTTTAATATGCAAACACGCTACTCAGTTTTGACAACCCTAATACTATACCAACCTCACTTTCTTAGCCTTGTTTCGTATACAATTTTCCGTGTTTCTTTTGCGTTTTCTTGCAGAATTATTAGTTACAACGCTGGGGTGTGACTCCATAATGAACTTATTACAATATTTGATCGAATTACGGCAAGAAAACACCAAATAAACATTAAAATACACAGAATAAAAACGTTCCGCTGACCATCAAAGCACGCGAGAGAACTGTGGCTTCTGATTGGTCGATGACTTAAGATGGTCGTATTGAAACTGAACTATGACAGATTGCCGGATTTGATCACAACTTCAGATTTTAACGTGTATTTTGTATGACAGAACGCCGGATTTGTTACGCAACGATAAAATAATCCGTTTTTATTCAAATTTCTCTGTGTTGCCCTGTCAATAACTCAATTTTGAAAAAAAAACACAGGTGGCCGCCATTGAAACTCATATTAATCTTCATATTCTTAAAAAAAAAAACAGACAACTTATCAGTCTTCAATATCAGAAGTACAATGTTTGCATTCAAAAAACAATAGATTACCACTTACACATTTAGAATGAGCCCATAACTTACAAGTTATGCACTGAATCCATTGTTCGCCAGGAACACTATCGGCGAAGGATTCAGTGCATTCTAAACATATCGTGCTCTCGTCATCTGAATCCACATTACCGTCATTTTCATCCACGGTGTCATCAGCAACTTCATTTACTTTATCCGTTCCTTTTCCTTTACCCTTTCCTTTGCCTTTTCCTTTTCCTTTTTCTATTCTGTTTTTTGTTTCTGCTTTTTTCTTCTTAAAATCTTCTCTTTTGTTTTTCATATCCATAAGATTTAATTTTCAGGAGTGTCTGTATAAATAGTACTTTTACATTTCCGAATATTTCTTCTATTTTCTAAAAGTGGCGCCGCTTTTGGAAAGGGTCTTATCGCTTCAAGTGTTGCTGATGAACTTGAGGCCAGGTTTAGATTGTGTAACGATGGGGGCACATTTGCTTCTGTAGGATTTACGTTTTCTGGTGTTTTGAGGTTTTCCCTCAGCTCCGCGTCATGTACAGAATTTAATGTCTCGTGTAAAATAGAAGGTGACTCACAATCAGTGATCAAAGATCTTGTAGGAGAGGGCATTGTGGTAGTGATCTGATCTATATTTACAGATAAACATTGCGGTGCCGGAGAGTGAGTTTCGGTTAGTGTATGTTGATCAGGAATTGGAATCTCTTCGACAATAGGCAACCTGTTAGATGCATCGGAAGTCGATGGGTCAACAACAGTGCTTACATGAAGGATTACCACCATCATGGGCAGTGGGCATCGGCCTATCTGTCACATAAGAACCACTAAACTTGCTTGAATATTTTCAATTGTAGCAGCCAATAGTAGTGACGTTTTAAGTAGCTCCGGTATATCATAAATTATAATAGTTTTTCCGGGGTTACTAGCCAGCCAGTTGTCACATGCTCGGTTGAAATACTTTTTCAATGGTCCGTACACAGATCTGTCTAGAGGTTGTAGCTTGTGGCTACAATGTGGAGGAAATGATAAAACTGTTACTCCATTAGTTTTAAAGTAATCCAACGCTTCAATTGATAAATGCGAGCCATGGTTATCTAGCAACAAAAGTACAGGTTTTTCTTTACTAGATTTAACATGTTGCATGAAATGTTTGGCGTACTTTATAAAGTTTTCTTCCTTCATCCAGCCAGACGAATTAGCATCACCTTCACATCCTATCGGACCACCTCTTACAAAATGGGGCTTGTAATGTACGCGGGGAAACACAAAAAATGGTGGAACCATATTTCCAAGAGCTGAAACAGCTACTGCAACTGTCACCAGTGTACCCCTCTCAGCAGATGTCATTTTACCTAGACTTTTAATACCATGTCGAGCTATTATTCTACTTACTTGCACGGTTGTAACACCTGTCTCATCGACGTTCCAGATATCACCAGGACTTAGATTTAAACGTTGGTATACAGTAGTTAAGTTAGCGAATAACATACTGACGTTGTGTTTGTTGAATGATGTCGCTCTTGAAAGGCTTGTTGCTTGATGTGCCCTGATCGATAAAGAAGGATGACGTTTGAGGAACGAGCCTAACCAATCTTCACCAGCTAACAATTTTGTTCTCCAAGGATCAGGCATAGCTTTGTTACTTTTTATGGCGAACTGATATGCTACTTTTCGAGTCTCATATGGTGTCAATCCATAATATATATCAGCGACTTTCTACAAATAACTTGCTAAAGCTTCTTCTTCTGTATTAGTGAAAACTTGCCTACTTTTGATATATCCCACTGAGTCCAAGGTTAGCTCTGCTCTCGTCAAGTTCGGATTACGTTCAAATTTCTCCTTTAGTTTCGCCACTTCTTAAATACTACTACGAGAACAAAAGTATTTAAACACCAGTCTTAAATACTTTTGTTCTCAAAAATTATTAGATGACAAGCTCTTTCCACAACATCTTTTGATGTATCAGCTCGTACAGTCTTTCTTTTGTAGGTTCTCATTGTACTGTAACAAAACAATTATTAATAATTGAATAAAAGGTTCATTTACAAGCTATTTTAAACTCCAAATTTTATTGGGGTTGGTTGACTAACTATTCAACCAGCCCCGGAATAAATTAGTCTACCAACCCCAGACGTCATTTTTAATTTCAATGGCATGGCTAACCTAAAACTGTCATCAACTTGAGAAATAATAATATGAAATATGATTAAATATACCCTCATGAAACATTCTGACTAATAGGCAAACCGTTAACAATAAAATTTGTAGGTATCGTATGAAAAAATATGTAATGTGAAAATATTACTTACCTGATACGAAAACAAACCACGGGTAACTGCTCGAAAACAGCGTGCGACCGCGACGCGGTGCTCCGGACAACTGAGCGGGGAAAGGAGAGTGATGCGCGGCTGAGCTGGGATGACGTAATACTCGTGTCCTTGACAAGTTTTTGGCGGTTAGTCTACCTGCCCCTATAGTCAACCATCCCCGGTCTCCCCTACATGATGTAGATAGTGCCTGTGAGCTTCTTTCGTTATTTCTCGGCGCAACTTTAAATGATCAATGACAGTACTTAGATTCTTTGATGTAATAATACCAACATTTTTTAACACAGAAGAAGCTATAATAGCAGCTGCTCTGTCAGAGACTCCAATACGATTTGAAGGCGAGAGCTAATGATGGTAAATTTAATCTCCTTTTCTTTGGTAGGGGAGCAGCTACTTGTTTTATAAGGACTGGAAACTACGCTATTATTGCTTGAATTGGTGCTTTCGATTGTTAAGTCATCAGACAAAAAACGAGAACAAGAGGGTTGGTTAGAATCCATTATCTGTTTATTACATACAAATTCTTTTTCTTGTCTTTTTAATTTATTTCGTATTTTTTAGTCGCAACCAAATCTACACCGCCTATCATCATTTGTCTTGTAGTTCTTTGATCAAGTAAAAAATATACTTCTACCTTGGGAACACGGTTGTCTTTTGAGCAATTTCACTCTGAGATTACTTAGTATTTCCAACTGCAAACGTCAAATAACCGTAACAATTGCATTTATTATCTCTTGATATTTCTTGTTCGTTTGACGGTTTTAATAAGGTTTTAGTAAGCTTCTATATTTTTTATGGTAAGATCGAATAAGTTGTACTCTCTCAAAGCTAACAGTAGGAAGCGACGCTTTTCGCTAAATATCTAAAATTTCCGTAGCCAGTTTTGGAATATATCATGAACTACGGCTCTTTTGTTAAGCTTTGATTCATATTTAATAAATAAGTAATATTTCATAACAGTATTATATGTTGGTATTTGATACACTGGCAACTTCTCCGGTAAACCAAACACAGGACATTTTCGTATTTTGACTTGCGTCATTTAACTGTAATAAAGAGAAATAATAGGTATAAATTATATCGAAAATCGTATGTCATCGACTATCAGTGAACAGGAAATTAAAAATATTACTTACATATGTATTTTCTTGACGGCAGTGGTTACAATTGACGCTTCTCACAAGTAGAATAACAATAACACGCGCGCACTTAATGGCGTTCAAACAACGATTGACAAGTGCAATGAAATCACCTCTCCCCCCTTAACACTCCCCCCACCTATCCACGCATTTTTCAAGGTTAAACAGTTGCCAACTGAACGGAACACAGAGAATATGATTTAATTTGACAATATTAGACGTTGAAAGTTTATAATGTTGGGCCACCACTAAATTAACCATGTGTCAAATAAAATTTTGTATGTATATTTGTGAACAATAACTCCAAAATTAATATGAATATTTTTTTTTTTTCACTCTACCCTAATATACCGCCCACATGAAGTGCTTTTTTTTCAATTTTAACTTATTTCCTTTCTTACCAAAAACTCTAAATTCCTGCCTCTCCTCATTGCTGCTGAATCAAGTAAATTTGCACCCGTGATAGCAGAAACTAAAGAGCCATCTGGAGTCCTACAAACACCTGCTTCGTGAGCCTTTGAAGTCGTTATACGGCTATATCTTAATTCGTACCATGGGCTGCTTTTGTGTAATGACTGGTTTATTGTATTTAGCTCTCATCACTGCCCCAAGTTTCTCTAAGTTTATTTGACTACTGAAAAGTGCAATGAATACTGCATTTTATTTTGTTTTCAAAAGAAATTCATTCAGTGGTGCTAATGAACTCTGTAGTTGTGTAACTTCTTTCTTCGACACGTGCTGTACAGTTATATATTTAAAATTAGTCCCTACTCTAAGATAAAGTAGACTTTTTCGAATTACACTCCGTGGATGTAGGATCCTCACTGCGGCGATGTGCCCCGTTCTGCATGCTTGCATCCTCCAGCTGAAGCAGGGCAGTCATGGCATTGGCAGCTGATCATTTTTTCCTAGTTTTCATGAACAACCACGGGTAAGTTATACTTTATGTTCGGGACACATACATTTATATGATACATTTCATTGTACAAATGTCATACTCCCAGTGCAGTTGTACATAGCCTATGGGTAATGCCTCTGGGCCGATCACATTCACAACGTATTGCGACTTTTCTATCATCTGACTCGCCATCCAGGTTATTCGCAGTTATGTAGATTTTCATGGACGTTGAAAAATTTTTCCACGCTAGCGGCATGTTCGGCTTATGCATGTCAAGCGCGAATGTTGCACTAGGAGCCATCCGATTACCGCCGCTGATACCATGTTTTATGGCGGTGACCGAGTTTTCTGTATTAAAAGACATGACTTTTGATAACGTGGTTTGTTATACTATAAATTACAAGGCATTGGTGCGACATAACTCACACGACAATCAAGACAAGATGGAGGCAACCATGCTGTTCACGACTAACTGTGCCCTAATATGTAAATAGCTTTTGATACCAGGTTTATTATACTCTTTGATTTTATATAACTATATTTTTTTGAATACTCTATATTTGTATGAATTAAAATAGATTATAAAATAAAATTATTAAATGTCAGTGTGCTAATAACAAGAGGTCGTATCATTTACACATAGAATATGGATATACAAGGATGATTAGTGTGACTGTATGTGATGTGTAGTGAGTGTGTGAATAAGGTCAGAGTACTAGCCAAAATCGCTGAATACCTTGTTAAAAACTGCCTCGAGTGGTTCGTTGAAAGCAAGAGCTTACTTGGTAAAAGTCAGTTCGGTTTTAGGAGAAGTAGAAGTACTATGGACAGTATCGGCATCCTTACCACTGATGTCCGATTAGCTTTTACTTGCAATGAATCACTTAGCTCCCTTTTAGATATCGCAGCTGCATATGACAACGTAGTTTTAAGCATATTACAAAAAATGTATGGATTTAAATATACCTACACTTCTTACTTCTTAATATTCTTACAGAACGAACGAACTATTAGAGTTTTTTAGGATTTTGTAACTTTAAAATCGAGACTAGTATGGAAGGGTCTTCCCCAAGGATCCGTATTAAGTTCTTTGTTGTACAGTATCTACACTCACGATCTTGAACATACTTCACCTAAAGATACTAACTAATAAATTTATCAATATTTCATTTAAAAACTTTATATATAATTTGATTTGATTTTCTGTGGTTTAACTTTTCCCTTCAAAACATTTTTTACTATACTCTGAATTTCACTGAAACATCGTATTAATGCTTCAGATGGATAGCAAAACCATTTCTTGTTTTTTTCATATTCTTTGTAACGAATATATCTGTTGATATTTTCTTTATCCATTAAATGGGTTTGCAGGTTTGATATCCTTTAATAATTTTAATGCAGCACTTTTTCAGGACCCACCCACAAATATATGATTGAGGATCGTATTGTTCTATAATTTTGCTACTCCACATTTCTTCATTTATGTAAATGTCTTCTATGCCTTTCTTATTAGAAGAACTCTCTTCTTCTTTATCATTAGCTGTCAATAAAAAGTCGACAGACTACAGATATGTGCTCATGTAATCTTCACAATTTGTTTTAATTGAGTGGGATGAACAAAAGTTATTAAATAAAAGTGCTTTAAATGCTGCTTCAAAATTGAATGTGTATGGAGCAACATTTCTCACACCTAAGCTTCTTACAGTACCAAAGAAGTTTTCTATGGGATCTTGATTAAAGTTTCTGCTAAGCATGATGTCCAATCCATATTTTCTTTTAATAGTTTCCATACTTTTTAAAATTTCATATTTTTTAAAAATTTTAGAGAAACTTGCCACAGTATTTGATGGGGTTAGTTCACCTTTACACCAGCCCTGTAAATCTTACCGTTAATTGGTACAAAAGTGTTATTATTAAGGCAACAAATAATTTATCGAGTATAAGGACAAATGGCGTAATTTGGGAGCATTCCGAGTTCAGTCTCCCAGTGTCAACCAAATGCTCTGCAGCAATGGCGACGCTATGGCTAAACAATTGAGTAGCCGTTTTGACTCTCATTTTGTTCATTTTTTTGCGGATTTATATGGTCTTCCGTCAATTTATGAAGAATTCATAGTTCTCCATATCCTCCATATATTTTTAAATGGACATTTACACTTCGACAAGCATTAACTGGCTACATCTTGTAGCATGTATAGTAAACAACACAGGAGGGGAATGTATTACTCTGGAGAAGGCAGTAAAAAATGCTATTTAAGAAATTAAGTATACTTATAGAAATTACTGAGAAATTATTGCATGCCTGGAGCTTGTGAGAGTTGCACAAGTTGGTCCGAGTAGAAAGACAGGGATTCAATGTAAGTTAATGTTTCCCAGTTTCATTATGTAACCTACCATATAAAAAAATTACTTTGCAAATGAAATGTAGATGCTGATGTAGAAGCTAGATTTCTATTCCATTCTAAACTCATTGTAGACAATGCTGAAACAAAAAAAATAAAATAATGTTTTTCATTATTTTTCAATAATTTTAAAAAAGGTTATGCCATACTTGCTAATAGATAAATGAAACTGACAATACGGATTCATTATTGTTATGGCTATATAAATATATATGAACTAACAAAGCCCAGTAAGCATACATAAGCATTGATAAAGTCTCAGCATAAATGAAACTCTTATAACTTAATGATTTCAAATTTTATAATAGCAATATTTGTTTATTTTGCCAAGTATTTATTTTCACATACGTGTCAAGTATACGTTTAAATTATTGCTTAATTGGTAATTGTAATGTAGGTACAGCCAGTTTATTTAAGCGGTTGTTACGGTTTTTTACATTTTCAGCAAAATGTCTGTTACAAACATATCTGTTTTTATAAATGACTTCTTTCTTCATCTTTCATGCCACTAAGAGATTCGGCAGCTAATTCAACCCAGGTTTTAAAATTGTCAAGATACTTCATAAGGTTTGGAAACTTGTGAATGGTGACACCTGAAAAAGCAAAATGGGTATATATTTAATAGGTTCATATTCATATTCAAAGTATTTACGTTATAGAAAACAGTGATAGAATATTTAAGGATAAGTTTATGTAAAAAAATATATATATATTTTATCTGAGTACTTTTACCACATTTATTCTTTTCAACATAAAGAATAAAATTTTTTTTTGAAGTTTAGCCTTTCTGGCTTCGAAATAGTCCATGATACCATCATCGACAGTTGCAAATGATTTTCCTTTACGACGATTAGAACGGATGTTGGTACTGGAAGCAGTTGATTTAGATGAAGGACATGGAAGAGATTGGTTGATGGGATATAGGAGAGATTGGTTGATGGGATATAGGAGAAGATGTAATTAGAGGGCATGACATGGGCGATGGGATGTTTTCACACTTTGCAAAAAAAGTAGCTTGGTTAACAATTTCCCCTTTATTCGATTGCGTTGCTGTTAAAGGAATTGACCAGCTTTAGAAAAAAGCCTCTCTGAAGCCGTGGAAGTCGCTGTGCAACATAAATATTTTAATGCAATCTATTTTAATGTGGGATCGGTGGATTCTACCCCTTTCCATAAAAGTAATGGAATAAGACAAGTGTGATAAAAAATCACGCGGGAGTTACACGGAGAGAGAACGAGCATAAAGTATACTTTTTTTTATATACATAAATGACCTTTTTCCGTTTTACACAGAAATTTTGCGGGATAGTGACAAATTGTTCAGTAACGGTTTTTAATAGTTTTCTGCCTCCCTTGTTCTAAAAGTACCACACAAAGCAAACGTCACAAATTGTACTAATAAATTAAATAAAAAATATCGCATTAAATATATGATAGTGCCATGTAGATTATAGTGTATTGTTATATTTTTTAATATGCTTACAAAACGCAAAAAGATAGTTATATTAGGAATAGAAAAGATAGTACTAATAAATTAAATAAAAAATATCGCAATAAATATATGATAGTGCCATTTAGATTATAGTGAATTGTTATATTTTTTAATATGCTTACAAGACGCAAAAAGATAGGTATGTTAGGAATAGACAAGATATGTAGTACTAACAAATTAAATAAAAAATATCGCAATAAATATATGATAGTGCGATGTAGATTATAGTGTTTGTTATATTTTTTAACCCTGTACATGGCAGAGAATTTTTGACTAAAAAAAATATACTTCTGCAACTTTTTTTTGTTAATTGGATAATAGGATATCAGGAAAAATATAATAAAAAATCTCCGAATTTCAGTTTTCAGGATATATTATGTGTCTCACAGTACACACTGCCAGGTATGCAAGAATAAAATAACAAAGAACCAATGTGTCTTTACATGCACACTGCCATGTAAGTAATAAACCAAAAAAACAAACAAAACATCAATAAACATAATATAAATCTTCAGAACACTTAATATAAAAGTTTCAATGTTATAACTTAACATAACAACAAGTTTTGAGATCTTTTAGGAACATTTGTCTATGAATATCTATACTAGAAACTAGAAAGTTTTAGGAACGAGCACTGTACACATACGCATTAGGCATGATGAGATGCACTTATTGTCTAATAAAACTTAAAATAAACACTAAATAAATAAACCTAACACGCTCAACTAAAAACTATGATAACTAATTTAACGAAATAAACTTTAAAATACGCATTCGCAAACCGAGATGGAAAGTTTTTTGCCACTGGTCGGCCTCATGCCTCGCTCATATCAAAGAAGCCGCGATCATTCGTTCTTCGTTCTTCCTACTGAATATTCGAGTGTTGCAACTTTTTTCACCAAATTCCCAAAATTGTTTTAGAAATGAAATCTGCAATTGAATGGATTGTGCATTACGTGTTCGATCAAATTTATGTTTTAACATTGTGAATTATTACAAGAACTGATATCGTAAGTAATTTTTAATAATACCGAAATAAACCAAATGAAAATTGTCTGAAAGTGTACGCTATACTAAATTATTTTTATGAC